AGTACGACGTTTCATTCTTACTAGAACTGGGAAGATCAGAGTACCCGACTGGGTCGATGTTGTGAAACTATCTACTGCCAATGAGCAGGCTCCCTATGATCCCGACTGGTTCTACGTTCGTTGTGCTGCCGTGCTGCGCCATCTTTACCTCAGACCCACTGGTCTCACTGGTCTTAGTAAGGCCTTCGGTCGAGGCAAACGTAACGGCGTTTGTCCACGGCACCATGTGCGAGCCTCCACCTCCATACTTCGTCGATGTCTTCACGAAGTCGAGAATATGGGTCTTGTTGAGAGGCGAAGTGATGGGTGAGGCTCTTCTGTTTATCTTACCCTTTCTCCTCCAACACCTACTTGACGCCTTGAATCACTTGTTTATTTCTAGTGGGAGGGAAATTTCACGCATCGGCCGCCGTGATATGGACAGTGTTGCGTACGAGACTGTGAAGGCTCTTCGCGCTGCGAAGTAGATGTCATTAATAAACTGACGGTTTCCTAACTTTTTTGTATTGCGATACTGTGAGTCAGCGTGCATCTACATGCGATGTGTTGGGAACCAAGTACGAGCGAGAATTTGCTTTACACTAACGACAGCCTATGGGTTAGGTCACTGACGACTCTTGCTCCGCTGGTACCATGAACCTCTTCGTGAAGCAGTGGTGGTAGTGGCACATGGCCATCATTTGTGTTAGGTTTGGTATTTAATTCGCTCTTGGTGGTATTTTTGTGACCCAGTTGACGCTACCAAAGAGCTGGTGAGTTGAGCGAGGCGACCTAGTATACTATTGCTCTTATTATTTACAGGGCTTATCACACGGATCTGGAGATTAGGGATAAGGGGACGAAGCGGGCGAGGGTCGTTGTTAAAGCAGGGGAGGTGTGCGAATTGATTGGGGTCGACGCCACAAACTCCATCATTTAAGCAGAGAAAACAGCGCTGAGACTTCTTTTCCATACTGTCCGGCCTTGGCAACAACGTCTTTTGAGTCGAAAGCAGATCGGATGGCTTCCAAGTGGGTTACGCAAGTTTGACATTTTGCTCGTCTAAAAGGTTAAGGATTGGTCTAATTTTGGGAGTCCATAGTTATTTTAATAGATTTCGATGACTGATTTGGTCATTGGGCGTTGTGCTTAAGAATAAAAGACGGGAAATGACGTGATTACATTTGATTCTTACCGTTCCTCGTGAGTGATGTCGACGCCGATTCTATGAGCTGAATCAAGGGTCTGACGAATGAGACTGGCAAAGTTCTTGAGTATTAGTCTCACAGCCTGGCAAGTGATTTCGACATACCTGTTGAGTTAAAATTTGCACAGTCATAGTGGTATTATGCAGTAAGCAGTGGCGAACTTACGTGGGGTATTTGCTCCAAATAAGTCTTGACAACTGCGGAAGTAGCACAGCAACAAGATCGAGACGCCATTGTTTACTGGAAATTTAAAAAAAAGTTCTGAGGTTTTTAAAATAGTGAATCATAAGGTAGTGAGTTTCCCGACCCTCTCAGTATGCAGCTGACCGTTCGGGTATAAAAGGTAGAGTTCGCTAGCCATGTGGGAAAGTTCCCTGGTTCCTTTTAATTATGGGAGAACATCTAGAACTATAATATATAAATGGACAAAAAGGGTCATTGGATTCAAAATCCAACTATAAGCCTACTGCACCAATTCAGTAAAAGCATTCCCCTGTCGATCCGTTTGCAAGTTTAAGTAGAGACACATAAATGTAGGTATTTCAGATTAGATTTGCAGACTGAGGCGAATGCAGCGCAGGGCTTCTAGATCCTCTAGCCAAGTCAACGACCAGCTTGAGTGCGCTGTATGATGACCGAGGCGAACATGATCATAAAAATATCAGCTGTTGTGGGAGACTATAAGAGGGCCAGTTTCCCAGCCTTGTGCGGAGAGAGCAGTCTGCCAGGAACCTGAAAGCTATGCTCGACCTTTAGACGGTCAATTCAATAGGTCACAAGGGCATGTAGGTTAA